GCTGAATATAATTTAATTATAAACTAAATAATAAATTTATTTAGTTATAAAATAATTTTAATAAATAATTTAAAATCATAATTTAAAGTAATAAAAAATTTTATCAACAAATAATTTAAAAAAAATTGAAAATTCGATTAATAAATAATTTAAAGTAATAAATTTATTAATTTCATTAATAAATAATTTAAAGTAATAAAAAATTTTGTTGATAAAATCATCTAAAATGACAATTTAAGGTAATAAAAAATTTGTTGATAAATTGCAAAATTAAACTTATATCATAAATTTAATATATCTAGAATTGAAACTTAATTGTTTGAATTTTTATAAAGCAATTTAAAGTCCCAAAAATTTTTATTAACAAATAATTTTAAATATCAAAAATTTTTATTAGCAAATAAGTTAAAGCAATAAAACTTTTTAAATAATGAATGTAAAAATTTTTATTATAAATAATTTAAGTAAATGATTTAAAGAAATGAAATTTTCTTTGTTAATAAATAACTTAAGACGCTGTATATTTAGAAAAAATAATTGATAAAATTTTGAGCCATATTAGAACTTTTGATTTTGGAATTTCGAAATTAAAATTTTAATAATGTTTTGATTTTTCAAAAATATATTTAATTTAAGCGCAATATAAATGAACAATTGCAATAACGATAGTAAAAATAGTTATTTACCGTATTAATATCGATAAACTTAAAGTTAATCATAAATATTCGATAAATAATAATAGTTTTGATTTTAATGATAATTTTATAAAAAAATTCAGTTTATCTTTATTAAATAGCAATTGATTTTAATTTTTGATTTTATTTATATATACGATATATGTTTTCATGGACATACTGTATATTGTATATAAAATTTATTCATATAATTTTAATATTTTCAAAATTTAACATACAATAGAGCGCCGCATACAGAACCCCGGGTACTAATTAATCCATGCGAAAAGTTATTTAATAAGGAAAAGAAAAAGAAAACACTACGTTAAAAAAGCCCGATCACTTATATTATTAATCATTTGAGACACGCGAAATCTCCTTTTAATAAGCATCATATGCAGGATACATTAATTTACTGAAATATGTCTAGCCACATCGTGTCGCAAATATATTGATAACCAACAATTACCCACTGACACGTCATAATTAAATGCCCGAGTCATTTGTTTTTTGTATAACCAAAAAATTTCTATATGAATGTGCGCGTATACATAGAAAACTTAAAATCGGTAACCTCAAAAAGACTTAAAATGGCAAACGGAATGGAAATAACAGAATCTGTAGGAATTTTTGAGAAATACTCAACTTAAATAGAAAAGGGAATAAGTAGAACAACAGATTATTAATCTGAATTTGTAGGAATCTGGGGGGGGGGTACGAGAATTATTAAGCTTTACCGTATGATCTATTACGAACGTAAAGTATAAATAAACGTCAAGCATTGGAAAGAAAGAAAGAAAAAACCAATGAAGAAATAAAAGTTTTAATAAAATTTCTACTTAACATGAGCAGCACACCATTTCAAACCGTGACCATTTTAAGCGATGGATCTTTTAAAGTAAAGGTTCTTCGAAGGAAGCCTGAAAACGAAAATAAGAATGCCACTTTATTGGCCTCCAAAGGTGCGGAAATTGTATACGCAGATTAAAGCCAACAGAGTGATCTCGTAGAGGCACTTAAAGGAACCGATGTGATCGTCAGTGTTGTAAGCAGTAGTACGGATATAGAAGCTGCCCAATCCCCCGTTATTAGTTGCTGCCAAAGAAGCGAACGTGAAGAGGTTCATTCCATCCGAGTTTGGTGGTTCCAAGTATAGGTAAACACACACATACTGTATATATACATATATTACCTAATTTCCATTCGTGTTTTTGTAGTAATCATAATAATTTCTTTCTTCTAATAAAGCCTCGGAGACCATTTGTTCACTGATGGAAAAATCAGGTTTAGGGAAAAATTAGAAAAGAGTGGAATCGAGTATACATACAGTACATTTACACTGGGTTATTCCAGGAATATCTTGGTTTTATTTACTTCGATGTCAAGAATAGGAAAGCTACATTTTATGTAGATGGAAATAGTAAACTTTCCTCTACTTCTCTCCCCGATATTGGTAAATATACGGTCGAGTCGCTTAAGATAAAGGAATCACGCAACGCCAGGTGCGACCTTAACACTAAATGAATACCTTAAGTTGTTCGAAGACGCTTCTGGTAAGTATTGTCATATTCAGTAATAACTTTTGAATGGTGATTAGCCATTTCACATGTATTAAGGTTCCAAATGGGAGGTTATTGAGGATAGGGAAATGGCACAGCGACTCCAAAACAAGGATGATTCAGTTCCCTCCACGCTAGATGAATTTAAATTCCTTATTCAAAAATATGGGTCGCTTGATAGGGTAGATAATGATAAGTTCAGCTTTAAATCCCGACCCATTTCCGAGGTCACCGATTCACTTGTAAAACAAGCGTAAAGTTTTCTGTATTCTTCATTCATTAGTCAAACCTTTACTCTTATCTTATCTGATACCACATATTTTCATGAGTGGAACTCTAAGTTTATCATTAGCTTTTTTTTTTTTTTCAATTTGGCCGTTCGCCACTTTAATTATTATTCATCTATTATACAGTGTTTGAGGGTACTATATCGAATTTATGTTTCAGCTAACAATTTATGCAAACATTTATCGTTAGTCCGAGAGGATGATATATTTTTCCGAAACATGTTGAGTCCGTTGGGGTATTACGGTTCGTTCAACTCTTTCATTGGATGATCCATCTCGAATCCTGTTTACTTGTACTTGTTTAAAAGCATAGCGTACTGTACATAAAAGGAGCATGCTGAGGCTACGCTTATAAATATGGGTTGATTTCTTGTTCAATCGTTTAGGAAACAAAGCAATCATTGTGCTATAAAACTTGAATGATTAAATATACTGTAAAAAAAAGCCAAGTTCACAACAGGTTAGGATATTTGTACAGGCAATAACGAGATATATACGGAAATAATGAAATATCTTGCTTATACGCATCTGCAAAGGGTCTCATGACCTAATCAAAGAATTTTTGAAAAATGCATGTATAATTTGACGCAATAAATACTCCACGGATTTCGCTAATGTCTTCAGATTAAAAACATTCTTTTCTACACTTTTAAAATTCACAATATCAATTACTCTCCACACACGGAAAAACGTTTAAATACTTTGTCGAAAGTTTATATAATTTATAAACATTAAATTTAATTTTGTCAAATAGTTTTCCAAAAAAAGTTTAAAAGGCAACAAGAATAATAATTGATGTCTCTAAACAGGTCATTAATTTGACAAAAGGTTCGTATTTAAATTTTTGGAATACAGTTTGCCATGCTCTAAGTTAATCTACTTCGACGCTATTATATGACGATAATTTCTCGTTATACAACAAAATTTATATTAAAGGCCATCAATTAATCTTTTGTCCGAAAAATCAAGTATATTCTTCATCCTTTGCATCCTCGTTCCACATTTATTTTGCTTTTCTCATTGTAAAGGTACTTGTTTTTTCTCATCATAAACAGCTATTTTTCGCTACTCTATGCTCGAAATTTCTACTTATTATAAGAAAGGCCTGAAATATACTCAAAAAGAGTAAAGTTTCGCATGAAACTTAAAGTTTACAGCAGAGAGAAATGATATTCTCAAAGCTGTAACTTACTTATGTATACAGTACCTTACACCATACCTTACACCACGTGATTCAAGATTTTGATCAGTAATTCTTAATGGCGCGGAACACACTGTTCAAAAGGGTTGTTGCCAATAATTTATGTAATTACGGCTGATAGTATAAATTGGTTCCTTGGGGTATACATTCACAAAGCTTTCTTTCATTTTTCCTCTTATCATTTCAATCTATGTCATACTTTTTTTCAACGGATTAGGCGTGTCACGGGTACAAATGTAAAATCTGCTAATATTACTATGCGAGATAGCAAATTTTACATTTGTTCCCGGGACATTTCTTTAATAAAGTATTTATTGAAACAAATGTAATATTTGCGGTATGCAGTGTATTGACATTCGTTAAGTTATTAAAAGCAAAAATTTCACCCTTTGGATTATAAGCAAATGTCAAAATATTTATAATTGTTTCGCCGATCATCCAGGATTTTTATAACACGGCAGTCTATTTTGCACAAAGGATCTTTTCTTTACCCCTTTAATCGCAGGTATTATTGGACGGACAAACTACCGTTGAAACTTAAAACGTCCAAAGCAAGAATTAATTATGCAACCATACCACGGTCGGTGTTAAGTTAATGTGGTGCAGTTGTTACGCTACACTGGTCGTTTAGACCTTTCGCAATCATTATTATCCGCCATTCCGTAAATAGATTTGGATAGTAATTGCGTACGATGATTTTTATTAATTTCCTTCATCTCAATTTTTTTTACCTGTCGGCAAAGGTTAAGTTTATTAATTGCAATTGGGGATTTTTATAAGGTTAAGTTCGGTGAATTGAATAGTGCACATTTCTTGTGTTTTCGGAGAGGAGTGGGAAAAAAACAATGCGTCATATTGTAATCTTAAGGACGCGATCTGAAAGTTGACAACGAGTAAAACATTCTGTCACATCGTCAACCTTCAACCTTTTTATTTTTTAAATTATGGATTAATATGACAAATTGTGATACTATAAATAGAATAAATTTAAATTATTAATAATCATTTTTACTAATACAGTATATTAATATGACAAATTATGATACTATAAATAGAATAAATTTAAATTATTAATAATCATTTTTACTAATACAGTATATTAATATGACAAATTATG